ACGTGCCTGGTCACTTCGACTGGGTATGGTTTGGGGACGGGAACGGCGACGGGACGATCGACCGGGACGGCGACCGGCACCTGAAACAAAAATTGGGTCGGTTAATCAATTTTATGCGAGTACAAAGATCTGAACGAAGAGTACGAGGTGACAAGAAAGAGTTGAAGGAACGATATCTTTTTTCCTCTTCGAACAGAAGAGTTGTTGCAACAGTTAGATCATTGGCAAAAAATCGAGTGACTCGAGGACTTTTTCCAAGAGAAATCGCACGTGTGGGATTTGCAACGTTCTAAACGTTTACGAAATCGCGTTCACATTGAAACGTTAATTAACGTCCGATGATGAAGGCGTTTACTGCCAATCACGCGAACAGATATTCCAGGATAAACAGAGCGTGATTGGAAGCTCGAGGTCCTCGTCTGAGCGCGAGCTGATCTCCTTGATACCGATGTGAATATAGCGCATCAATATGTTGATTCGAGTATATGCAAATCGACTGGAACATTGTTTCCGTGGAACATTGCATCGAGTCGTTCTCGATTTCGCGATGCATTCTTTTTTCTTTTTCTTTTTTCTTTATCACTTTTTACCAGAGATTACGCACGAGCTGATCGTGAAGATCTCGTAACATTTTTGTTCCATTTTTTTTTTCTTTTTTATAGAAAGGGAAGGGAAGAATTATCTTTACCTTAACCGGGACAGGGACGTGTTTCTCGACAGGAACAGCGACAGGATGTGGTACAGGGACTGGCACTTCCTTGGTTACCACCGAGACTGCCTGGCTGATCGGTGCAGCGTAACTAGAGTATCCATATCCTCCGTATCCTCCATAGATTCCACGTTTGTCCTTCTTCGTTTCAGTAGCTTGCTCTTCGGCCAAGGTTGCCGCCACGAGGGCGAAGATGATGAGAAGCTGCAAGAACGATCCAATTCTAATTATTGAGATTCACTTGCGGCGACCGGCAAGAAATTTTCTTTTTGCTCTGCTAAGTTTTCTTCAAATTCTTTATATATTATTCGATTTCGAATAAAATTGGAAAAATCAGTCTTCGTGCACCGAAACGTTTGAAAAATAATAACGATATATATATATATTTTCCTTTTTTTCTTTGCTTCGACAAGGTATATACTTTGGATCCTTGGAGACGGAGTCAGTCCTGATCCCAGGCAAAGACTGATCGTCAAGATCGCGGAGATCATAGCGATCGTCCATACGGCTGTAATTGCTCACCTTAGCGTTCATGTTGGCTGCGCTATTGGAGTTGGTTCGTTGGTTGTTTTGCGACTGATGAGATAGCAAGAAGATCCACTGCTTTTATACGGTGTGACGACCACGACGAACCCTTGAAGAGGAGGTGGTGGGCAGTTGCGGACCTCACTGAAACGGTGAGAAGAAATTGGGCGTGGGGGATATAGGCAGGGGTCTTCGAAAACCGATCCAAGGCAAAGCTTCTTTTCCACTCCTTTTTTTGCGAAAGATAACTTTGTATCCCCACCCCATCACGGATTAATATCTTACGTCAATAACTTTCTTCAATTTAATACGAATCGTGTTTCCCTTGTAGGATAGTTTCTCTGTTTTCCGTGTATTCGAGAGTTACTAAGCCTTTAATCCCTTGGGATTAATTTTTTTTTTTTT